CACCTGCTCCCTGCCCATTTAACCCAGAGCAGACCAGAATCACATAGAAGGCCCCTGTGCCAAGGTGCCATTAGCCAAGTTGGGCACCTTTACATAGCCTGGATGTTGGATCTGTGAAATGGGGCCACCGTGAGCCCCGCCCACCTCACAGAACTGCAAGGACGAGGGAAAATAGATTGTAGATTACAAAGTTCTATGTAGACAGAGGGCAGGTCTGCGCCTAACAGTCCCAAACTGGAAAGAACCCAAATGGCAATCAACGGTGGAATGGATAAATACATTGTGGTTTCTTCACATAATGGAATACAACATAGCAATTAAAAAGAATGAGCCCCTGCAACCCACAAGAACACGGTGAGCCTCCCAGACATGATGCTGAGTGAAATGTCAGACACAAAAGCAAACACACTATGTGATTCCATTTCTATGATATCCAAGAGCAGGCAAAACTAATCTCTGATAATACAGGTAAAGATAGCAATTACTTTTGGGGGATATTGAAGGGGAACATAAGGGTTGCTTTTCGGGTGCTGGGAATGTTCTAGATCATGATCTGGTTCTCATGTGCATACAAACCTATCAGGATGTATATTTGAGTTTTATATACTTGACAGTGTGAATTATACCCCAATTAGAAAAAGGAATGTGACTAGAATTATTATTTGGAGGAACCTGTGTGTCAGGAAGTAGGAAGGGCTTTTGGGAGGGGTTTTAAAGTAATTTTGCTGCTACTTCTCTCCTGCTTTTATCCATCCCCTCAGCCTCTCCCCAGATAGGAAGGACTTCTTTCTCAATATTCCTTTATTCCATCCTTTAATCCCTTTATTGGAACTCCCGCTAAGGACTAGGTACTATTCTATAAGCTGGGGTGGAACCTAGCTCTCAGCCTTCTAATGGGCAATCAACACATAGATAACATTGACTGTGAGCCGGCACTGAGGCTTCACCTCTACCAGCAGGAGCATTTTCTCTCAAGCAGGTCCAAGTGGCAGAGAGCAGGGCACAGAATATCTGGGATCCTTTCCAGGCTGTGACTATCATTCCAAGAAAGGAGAAAGGTGCCTACTATATGCCAATGTAGATTTAATCCTCTGCAACCCAGCTCACGTATCTGGAAGGCAGCAGGGGTAGAGTTCAAACCCAAGAGTGTCTGATTCCGGCCCCCCCCTGCCCTTCCCAGCACTCCCACGGCCTCCTAGCTGCCAGGTCAGCATTGCCCTGTCTCTGGGCATCTGTAGTGTCACCGTCCAACATGGCCCCCACTGATTCTTGCCTCATGATATCCAAGCCTTTATGTAGGTTCTTCCCACACTGAATAGGGCTGACCTATGTAATCAATAGGATATTGCAGAAATAACAGTGTGTCTTCCAAGGATAGTATATAAAAGACATTGTGGCTCTGCCTTGCTCTCTCTTGAATCATTCATTCACTCTGGGGAAACTAGCCATCATGTTGTAAGAACACTTAAGCAGCCCTACGGAGAGGTTCGTGTGGCAAGACACTGAAGCTATCTGCCAACAGCCAACCCCAACTTGATAGCCACATGACAGAACCACCTTGGAAAATGATCCTCCAGCCCCAGTCAGGCCTTGAGAAGACTGCAGCCCCAGCCAACAACTGCAACCCCGTGAGAGACCCCTGGCCAGAAACAGGCAGCTAACCCACTCCCAACACCCTGACCACCCAAAACATTTATTATTACTAGATAAACGGTGTTCAATGCTGTTTTAAGCTACTAAGCCTGGGGGCCATTTGTTACACCATATCGCCCCATATACATAACACAGCCCCTGTCAGAGCCACAGCTTTGTGCTGCAGAAACAGTCTAAGGGTGGCGCATGAAGGCATCAGGAACCAGCCACATACCGGAGGAGTGGCCAGAGCAGGCAGAATTGGAGAGATCAACATCAGCAAGAAACCCCCAGTGCATGGGACTGTGAAACGGAGACCAAGCAAAGCTGAAACCCTGGAGCTATCTCCTAGAAATTTCTCACACACCTCATCTGTCTCAGTAAGTGAAACCACGTGTACCCAATTACTCTGGCCAAAACCTGGGAGTCACCTTTAAGCCGGCTCCCGCTCTCACGCCCAACATCCCATCACTCAGTGAGGCTCCGGCTCTCCCTCGGAAGGCATCCCAGGCCCAGCCCCTCCTCACTGCCTTTCTGACGAGCGCCGTGGACTAAGCCGCCAGCTTCTCTTACGTGGGCAACATCAGCAGCCTCTTGGCCCATGTCCCTACTCCTGCCCTGGTGCCTGCTCAAGGCCAGAGTGGCCTTAGAGTGGAAATCCAATCATGTCCCTCAGGCCCAAACTCACCAGCGCTCACTACTCTCTAGCCCTCTTTCAAGAGTAACAAGCTCCTCTCGCCTCAGGGCCTTCGCACCTGATCTTTCTCCTTCCCAGCATCATCATCTGGGTCCCACCTCACATGACTCTTCCTCCAAGCAGTCTTCCTGGGCTACCCTAGCAGAATTCTTCTCTAACCCATTGCTGCAGCTCATTCCCTTCAAAATTTGCTTGCCTATTTAGTGCCTGTCTCTCCTATTAGAATGTAAGACCCATGAGGGCCAAGGCCTTTTCTATCTGTTCACTTAGAAGGGTGTCTGGCCCATGGGAAGGAGCTTACTAAACATTCATTAATGAATCCTGCCTAGAAGCGGGGGCTGGATGAGATGACCTCCAAGTTGACGAGGCTATAAAATCTACAGTACAGAGCTCTGCTGTGGCTCTGTGGCTCTGGCTCCTGCTGCCCTTCCCAGCGGGAGGAAAAGGCAGGGCAGCAGTAAGAGCTGTGGTTTTAGGGAGAGACCCCCCAGCTGGGTGGAGTGTCACCACCAGTGGGTCCCATTCCCTGTAGAGGAAACTCCTATACAAAGCCCATCTGTCTGTCTGGTTGCTGCCCTGCAAATCTACCCTCTCCCCCACTTAGCTGGCCTCCTTGGGCAGGGCAGAGCAGGACTGCTGCAGCCTTGTACATTCTGAGCCCCCAGCATATGTAAGACTCCTCAGGTAGGCTATACCCCCAAAACATCATCTTTGGCATCTGCCTGTTCCCATGCGCAAGGCTGCTGCATGACAAGCCATCTGTACATCTTTCTGGGCCTCTCTGGGCTACCCATCTCCCCTATTCAGACCCTTCACTGCCTGAAAGTTCATCCCCTTATCATCCCTAAATGTATCCTGCTGCTGTCAAGAGGTGGAAATCAAGAGGAGGAAGGGCAGGCAAGGATGGGGAAATGTATGGCAGTAGGCAGTGAGGGACGAAGACAAGGAAGGACAAGGGCCCAGGGACAGAGAGCAGGTGAAGAATTCCACTGGGACACCCTGAGGTCACTCAGCCTGGGGCACCTCCATTTCCTCATCTGTAAAACAACAGGAACTTTTGGCCAATGTTTTATGCTCTAAAGGAATGAAAAGAACAAAGTCTGATAATGCATGTGAAATTCTGTCTAAGACTCAAAGCACTGTACAAATGTTCACTGCTATTAAGAGAGAAGGTTGCAGGAAGGACAGTAGGAAGGGGTAGACTGGGGAGAAGCAAGAAAACTGGAAAGTTCTGTATTTAAAGAAAAAAAAAAACTGCTCTGGATAAAGAGAACAAGGAGACAGGTGGAAGGAGAAGCAGAAACTTACTTTCCCCATCCAGGAAAGAAAAGGCCGAGGGTGGCCCCAGGAAAGCAGAGGACAAGCGAAGGCAGAAAACTCTACATGGACGTACCTGCTGCAAGCCCGGTCCTCGGCACCTCTGCAAAGGGAGCATTCCGAGCTGGAGTCTACAGATGGAGATGCCCTCCAGCAAGGTGTATGCTTGGCTTAAGTCAAGTCTCTTTGGAGGAAGAGTCCTCCCAGATCTGCCTGACTCATCAGCACCCCTTCCCCAAGGTAACACTTGGAACTCCAAGCTCCCAGTAACTGAGCATCAATCATGACACTTTTGAGCATGTACCCTGTGCCAGGCGCTGGGCTGGGCACTTCACACACATTAGCTCATTGAATCCTCATAACAACTTAATGAGCGAGGCTTATTCCCATATCCTTGTGGATGAAGCAGAGGCTCAGACAGGTACAAAACTTGCCCAAGGTCACCAGCTAATGAGAAGCAAAGTGTGGGATGCACCAGATACGGATCCTCAACTGCTGAATGAATGCTCCTTTTGGAAGCATCTTCTCCTTCTACTACCTGAATATCTTGAAAAGTCAAGTGTGAAGAGCAAACGTAGGGGGTGAACAGGCAGGGAGCGGTACAAGCAACAATGGGAGAAGGTGCAGACATTGGCTGCAAGTGAGAGGCAAGGAATGCCATTTTCACCCCCAGGCAGAGCTGAGGCCATTGGACAGAACCATTTCCTTCCCAAACTCATAATCCGTCTTGGTGTCAATCCCCCACCCCGTTATTCCAAGAAGCTGATATATGACTTCTGGATTCAAACCTCAGAGGATACATCAGGGCTGAGCCAGCCTGGCCAACTAGGGCCCAGCAATCCCTCTGGTCTTCTTGACTCAGTTTCCCTCTCCCACCAGGCCCAGCCTCGAAATACTCATGGGGAAACTGAGGACCAAAAGGAGACCTGGCCAATCAAGAGGGAGACACAGTCTCAGAGGGTTCCAGACCAGCCGATCCTGACCTCCGATCTCATTCTCCACTTACTCCACCACCCACTTCTCTCGCCCTCAGGGTCCCGTGGCTGTGGTCACAGGTTTTCTAGGTTGGCCGAATTGGGCCAAGCGGGGCTCTGGGCGGTCCGGGGTAATTGAAATGGATCCCCTCCCCCTTCGCCTCTACCCCTTGAGAACTAGCAGAAACACCTTCAAAGGCCGCTCCCTCGGAGCTCGGTCCCCACCAGCCACCCCCAGTGACCGCCCAGATCGCGCGCTGCGCCCCCCACCCGTATCCCCCCACTCCCCAGTCCGCCCCGCCCCCGGCCCCGGGCCTTCGCCTTCACCTTGACCTGCGCCCGCTCCCAGGCCCAGGCGCTTTGCATAAACAAAGCGAGGAGGAGGGACGCCCCGGGCACCGCCCCCGTCCCGCCGGCGCCCCCCGCTCCAGTCCCGGACCCCGAGCCAGGCCTGTCCCAAGTCCTCCCGGGCCCGCCCGCCCGTGGCCCCTTACCTTGGCCTGGCATTTCCGATGACAGGAGAAGCTGCAGACTGCAAGAGAGCGAGACACAGAAAGAAAGTTTTAGCCGCGAGGTATGAAATGGAAACTCCGCGAAATCTCCTCCCACCCCAGCCCGCAATCCGCGCTCGTGAGAGAAGGAGGGAAGGAGGGACGGAGGGAAGGAGAGAGGGAGAGAGGGAGGGGACGGAGGGGAGCGGCTGCTGGGCCTGGGGGGCGGGAGCGTCCGGGACTGCGGACCCGCTGCCCGGGAGGCGCCGGGCCCCCAGCACGAGCCCCTCCGGGTGTGGGAAGGTGGAGGGAGCAGGGGGGTCGCCCACTGGACCCCTGCCAGGGGCAGAGGTAGCCCGGACCCAGGGCCCATGCCAGCCGCACCAAGTAATAAGGAGGGCCTTCTCCCTTTACACACACACCAGGCAGGCAGACGACATCGAAAACCACAATCACACTTACTGTGCCCCAGAGACAGAGACACACAGACCCAATTCAGAGTCCAGGAGACAGCCCACGCACATACACATTACACCCACACACACACTCACCCAGAACCACTCCCACCCATCAACACAGTCATCCTCGGGCACACACAGAGCCTCACACAGATTCATCCACGAAGACCCCTGACCTGGGGCACAAACACGCACAATTCTGTGGGACACCCTCAGATACAGCCTGACACAGATTTGTGGACACAGACGCGTGAACAGATGCTCACACAAACTTCTTGTACATGACTTGAAGCACACACGCGCGCGCACGCACACACACACACACACACACACACACAAACACACACACAGGACTTGCTCTTCCTCCCATTACCAGAAGCTGGAATCAAATTTCCTATCAGGTTCCCAAAGCCTGGAATTTCACCAGCCCTGCCGCCCCGCCCCCCAGGGCTCTGGGACTCCACCAAGGGATTTGGTGACCTCCCCACAGATCTCATGAGTGGATGAGGAGTCTCCTGAGCTGTTTGCACGGCTTTGGGTCTTGTTGGCTGCCCAGGACCTGCTAAGGCTGGGGAGTTAGGAACTCTGGTTAGAGAACTGGGGAGAGGGAGGTAGGAGAGTGCCCTGACTCCAAATCCTCTACAGCCACAGCCCAGAGCCACAGCCATCCGCCCCCTTCTCCTGGATCTACTACCCTCCACCTCCTTCCAGCTTTGAACCAACCTGATTCTCAGTAGAGTGCAGAAAGGGAGGTTGAGGCACAGGTGAAGGCCTGGAGCACCCCAAAGAGGCTCCAGGGTTCCCCACACTAAGGCTTCTAGTTTATCTGAGGCAGAAGGGGCTGGGAATGGGAAACGGGGAGAAACTGGGAGACACACTGGGTGGTGCCTGAAAAGGGACCTTGGCCACTGACCCCAGCATGGGATCTTCTTCTCTCAGAACCTAGTCCTGGCCCAGCCCAGGCCTGTGACTCACCGGTACTGAGCAAGGCTTTCCTGACCCCACCAGCCACCCAGCCCAGCTCAGGGGCATCTCCACCCTGGCCACAGTAGGACATACTCCCCGCTCAGCCACGCCAGTGTTACCCAACTCTGAACCTTCTGCTCCTCCCTGTCCCTCAGCACCCCCGCCAGCCAGGGGAGCAACTCCCTCCCTTCCCAAAATTGTCCCCTCTTGGACACCAGCAGCCTCCCCTGCCCCACCCCATCCGAATGAGGAAACTTCCCCTTTTTGGGTCTGACAGGGTGTGCTCTTTCCAGTAGGGGACCTGACTCTCTCTCTCTCTCTCTCTCTCTCATACAGACACACACACACACACACACACACACAGAGACAGACAGAGAGAGAGAGAGAGACACTGGTACACAGGAGAGACTTAATAAATGTTTGCTAAGTTGGATCTGTCTGAAGACCTCCCCTGGGGTTTACGTGCACCCCATTTAGTTGTGTCCCCCCACTCTCAGATCGTTCCTGAGCTGTAGGATCGTTCCTGAACATCTCATGTTCAACCAAAAAAGCATCCCTAAGCAACCACTTTCGGCCTCCAACCCCAGTCTAGACATGAGGGACACAATGGGGGCCGGGATGCCACCTCCCTCCAGCAGGCTCCACACTCTGACACTTCCCAGAGTGCCTCAGGGCCTTGGCACTTGCTGTGTCAGCTGCCTGGAACACTCCCCGTCACCCCAGCACCCCATCGTTCCCTGGGCCAAATCCTTCTCATCCCTTGGGAATCCACCCAAAGTCATTTCCTCAAAGAGGTCTCCTCTGACCACTTAAATTGGAGTCATTTTCCAATTATTCTTTCTCAGCACCCCAGTTATTTCCTGGTTACCTTCTGAAGTCGCCCTGGGTAGCTTCTCTCTAGTCTATCTCCCCACACTGTACTCAGGAGGGCAGGGAGCATGGCTGTGTCTTTCACACCAGACCCCCAGCAGCTAGGACAGTGTCTCCTTCAGGCCCACAAGACCACACAGCATCTTTGTGCACACTAGAAGGCTGAGGCCATCCTCTGGGAGACCAGCCCGATGGACACACAGCCATGCGTAGTAAGTTGAGCTCATGCAGTGTCTTTGTGGAAATGGTGAGAAGGTGCCCTTTCTCCAAGCAGATCAGCCCTGTGCCAAGACGCATGGCTTGGTAGGCAAAGGGTGGGCTGACTCCTGTGCTCTCTCAGGTAGGCACCCTTGGCAGCGCTTGGCCTACATGACCATACAGGGCAGCCCTGCCGGTCACACAGCGGGCAGACACTCAGCAAATGCCCTCAAGTGGGGGGCAAGTGGAGAAATCATCAGGCAATTGCAGTATGCTATGCTGAGTGCTTCCTGCACACTGGAATGCAGAAAGCTTGTCCTTGGCAGCTCTACAAAGGGGAGCGAAGGAAGACCACCCCCACCCCAGTTCCCAGCCCAGAAGACAAAAGCTTAGCAAACCGAAAGCAAGTGGCAGATGCCAAGCAGGACAGGCTTGGCCAAGCCCCCATGAATGGATTTTGACATCTGCAGAAGTATCCGCCTCCAACCCGAAGGAGGCCCGCTTGCTGAGTCTCCTCCAGGGAAGCCCCCTTTGCATGCCTGGCCACCTTTCTCACATCTCCTTCCAAGGGGCAGAATGTCCTCCCAACTTGCATCATGTCTGCTGTCCTCTCAAGTTTGGGCCTGCCGATCTGCTGGCCTCTCACTCTCAGAATGATGAAATACTCCATATACTACAGAAAAGGAAACTGTGGCAGCCAGCCTCTTGGGTAGCTGCCAGTGTTTCTTGCCTCTGCTACTCATGCCCTTCTGGAGTCCCCTCCCACACTAAATAGGGCTGATTCATGTAATCAATCAGATACTATAGAAATGACAGTGTGTGACTTCTGAGGCTAAGCTATAAAAGACACTTTGACTTCAGCCTTGTCGTGGATCACTCACTCTACGGGAAGCCAGTGACCATGTGATGAGACTCCCAAGCAGCCCTACGGAGAGGGCCATGTGGTGAGGGGCTGAGGCCTCCTGCCAACAGCCAGCCCCAGCTTGACAGCATTAAGTGAGCCATATGGGAAGTGGCTCCTCCAGCCCCAGTCAGGCCTTCAGATGAATACGGCCCCAGTGACATTTTGACCGCACCTTCATAAGACACTCTGAGCCAGAACCACCCAGCCAAGTCACTCATGAATTCCTGAGCCATGGAAGCCATGTGAAATAATAGTTTTGTATTTGTTTTCTTTTTTTGAGACACGGTCTTGCCCTACTCTGCCCCCAAGGCTGGAGTGCAATGACATGATCTGAGTTTACTGCAGTCTCCATCTACCAGGCTCAAGTGATCCTCCCCCCTCAGTCTCCCAAGCAGCTGGGACTACAGGCATATGCCACCATGCCTGGCTAATTTTTGCATTTTTTGTAGAGAGGGCGTTTTGCTATTTGTCCAGGCTGGTCTCAAACTCCTGAGCTCAAGTGATCCTCCTGCCTGTGTTTCCAAAAGTCTTAAGATTACAAGAGTGAGCCATGGTACCCAGCCTGTATGTATGTATATACAGTGTTTTTTTTTTTTTTTTTTTTTTGAGATGAAGCCTCTCTCTGTCGCCCAGGCTGGAGTGCAGTAGCATGACCTCAGCTCACTGCAACCTCTGCTTCCCAGGTTCAAGCATTTCTCCTGCCTCAGCCTCCTGAGTAGCTGGAACTACAGCACACGCCACCACGCCCAGCTAATTTTTGTATTTTTTGTAGAGACGGGGTTTTACCATGTTGGTCAGGCTGGTCTTGAATTCCTGACCTCGTGATCTGCTCGCCTCAACCTCCCAAAGTGCTTGGATTACGGGCGTGAGCCACCAGGCCTGGCCCATCTGTATTTATTTTAAACCACTAAGCCTGGGAGTAATTTTTCTATGCTGTACAAAATCACTGCAATAAAAAAAATTATGCAGTGATTTCACACTGGATACTGAAATCAGAGCACAAGACCCATCAGAACGCAAAAGCCAAAGGCAGCAGATGCTGGGAACCGAGGCAGAAGACCCATCAGAACGCAAAAGCCAAAGGCAGCAGATGCTGGGAACCGAGGCAGAGGCCATCTCCTGGGTCCTACCTTGCTCCTTGGTGCCTGCACACCCCTCTCTTTCATTCCTTCCTTACTTCCCTTCCCCTACCCAGTAGTGAGCCGTTGTGTTCCAGAAAGTAACTCCTAAGAGGCTAAGGTATTCTGCAACAGCCCAACTAAGACACCCTCCGCCACCACTGCCACCCGCCTCTTCCTCCCTTCAACCAAGAAAGGGGAAAAACCCAGCTTCCAACCCTGGGAACATCAGACACTGCTGGGGAGAAGCCAGTCTGTGAGCAACAGGGATGCTCTCTCCCCAGGGACCATTTCTCATCAGAGGGATGGGGACACGCAGGGAGGAGCAAGAGCAGGAAGCCCCAGCCTTCCCCTCTCCTTCATCCTCCCCAGATATGCCTGTCAGGATGGGCCCCACCTGAGCAAACCATGGCCTCTCAGCTCCTACAGAAGGCCCCACAATTACAAGCCCACCCATGCGCCCTCCTGAGCCAGTGTCCGACCGGAGTCCAGCTGGAGCTTCATGGAGCGCCAGGAGCCCCATCTCTGCCCACAGTGTCAGCACTGCCCCCGCGCGACAGGTCCCAGTGGTGGCCTGATAGGGAGCACAGAGCTCCTTAGTGGGAAGGGACCCTTGGATTATTCTGTTGGGGTGAAAAACTGCACCCCCAGCCCTTGGCCCCAGCTCCCGCCCAGCTGGGCTGCCGGTACTCTGTCCTGGGGTTGCTTCCTGCCTCTCAGGAACACAGGAAGCCAACATTGTTGGGATCAAAATGGCCTTTTCCTCCTGGACTCGAGTCGGAAAATGAGCACATAGCCTCGGTGTGCACCTGACCCCGGCGATAACCACTCACATGCCCAGTCCGGCCTCAGCTCCTTCCCTGGCCGGCACAGAGGCACAGGCCCAGCCGCCCACCTGCTCACTGGCCACTCAGACTGCCCTGCCGGTTCATCTCCAGGGCCAGGGCTGGAGGCATGCAGTCGTTAATGTAATGAGTCAACTTGTTTAGGCCACGGTACCTAGCTATTTGGTGAAACATTATTCTGGATGTTTCTGAGAAAGTTGGTTGGTTTTATTTTTTAGATGAGATTCACATTTAAATCAGTACTTTGAATAAAGCACATGACCCTCCATAATGAGGGTGGACCTCATCCAACCAGTTGAAGGCTTTAATAAAGAAGGCCCTCCTCTCCAGCACATGGGCAGGAGCACCCCACCTGCCAACCTATCCTGCAGATTGAACCTGCCACGGCTCCACAATCACGTGAGACAATTCCTTAAATAAACCTCTTTTTTTCTACACACATCCTGTTGGTTCTGTTTCTGCAGAGAACCGTGACTGACACAAGGTGTCTCGGGGGATGGTCAGGGGACATGGTGTGGCTCTGAAGTAAGAACAGGAAGAAACCTTCCAGATCAAACTTGTCCAACCCGCAGCCCGCGAGCCACATGTAGCCAAGTTCGGCTTTGAATGCAGCCCAACACAAATTCATAAACTTTCTTAAAACATTATGAGATTTTTTTTTGTAAGGCAGGGGGGTATGTGAAATGGTTTCTTATATGCACCCAACTCTTTCTTCTTTCTATTCTTTCTTTTTGAGACAGGGTCTCAATCTGTCACCCAGGCTGGAGAGCAGTGGTGTGCTCACGGCTCACTGCAGCCTCGACCTCCTCAGGCTCAAGTGATCCTCCCACCTCAGCCTCTGGAGTAGCCGGGACTACAGGTGTGCACCACCACACCCAGCTATTTTACTTTTTTATTTTGTGTAAAGATGGGGTCCTGCTATGTTGCCCAGGCTGGTATCGAATTCCTGGGCTCAAGTGGTTCTCGTGCCTCAACCTTCCACCCCACCCCCACCGGCCGAGACGGAGTCTTGCTCTGTTGCCCAGGCTGGAGTGCAGTGGCGCGATCTCAACTCACTGCAAGCTCTGCCTCCCCGGTTCAAGCAATTCTCCTCCCTCAGCCTCCCGAGTAGCTGGGATTATAGGTGCTCACCACCACACCCAGCTAAGTTTTTTGTATCTCTAAGTAGAGAAGGGGTTTCACCATGTTGGCCAGGCTGGTCTCGAACTCCTGACCTCATGATCCGCCCACATCGGCCTCCCAAAGTGCTGGAATTACAGGTGTGAACCACCGCACCTGGCCCCATTATGAGATTTTTTTTTTTTTGCAAGTTTTTTTTTTAGCTCATTAGCTATGGTTATTGTTAGTGTACTTTATGTGTGACCCAAGACAATTCTTCCTTTCCCATGTGGCCCAGGGAAGCCAAAAGATTAGGCCCCCCCTTTCTAAATCATCCCATCCAGTGATGTTCAAACTTTTCTTTTTACAGCCAAATTCCTCCCGCAGATGGGCTCTGACGTGGAACCACAATGACGCTGGTTAAAATTCACTGAATGCTTGCTATATGTCAGGCTCTGTTTGGAGCCCAGCACCTCTACATATATCATCTCATTTAATCCCACAGTGACCTCATGAGGGAGGTACTGCTGTTTGTCCATCTTAAAGGTAAGGAAACTGAGGCTTAGAGGGGTAGGCAATCAACCCAAGTTCTCACGAGTAAGGGTCAGGTGGGGATCTGAATGAGGACATCTAAGTCAAGGGCAGGATCACCACATCATCCTACCTCCTGATGCATTTGACTCCTAAAACCAGAGCTGCTCTGACTGAGGTGGGAAAGGGTCCCAGAGCCCTGACCCTTTTAGACTCCCTTGGCTTTCATCTCTTATCCTCTTTGGCCCCTAAAGCTCCTCCAAAAACCTTACAGCTCCTTCAGAACACAGTTTACAGCCTCTGATCTAGTCCCACCTCCTCGTTTAGAGAAAAGGGAAGGCTAGACCCAGAGAGGTTAGGCCTCTCCCCTGAGGTCACACAGCCAGGAGGTATTAACAGCAAGCCAGGGCTAGAAACTAGGGTCTTTCCACCCTACCAGGCTGCCTCTGGTGGCTCCAAGGGGGTCCTCGGACACAGGGCAGAAGCTGGGTTCCCCAGTGACATAACAGGGGGAAAGATTTCCTAGAAACAAGGTTTCCCCAAATCCAACTGGTGCCGGCTTCTGCGTAGGCTTGTCCCGTTAAAGGACGGATCGTCTTTCCAGATGCATCCTGCCCTAAGAAAACTATAGGTGACTGTCCCCACTTCCAGGCTGACCAGAGCCACTGAGAAGGGAAGTTGTCCGAGTCTGGGCCCCGATCAGGCCCAGATGGCAGCCCTCGGACTGCTGAGCTGCCATCCTGGTCTTTTCCTGTGGGTTTCAGCCTGGTAGGAGGTACAGCCCTTGAGCAAAGCTCTGAGTCCACACAGCCTCCCTCTGGGGCCCCCAGTGCACATGGACTCCCATAGAGCACTTCCCTAGGGACCTGTGCGAAACCCACTATTTGGACTGAGGAACTCCTACACATCCCTCAAGACCCAGCCTGCACATGTCTTCCCTGCTGAAGCCTGACAAGAACGTCTCTACTGAGTCAGAGACGGCCTTGCACACACACACACATACACACAGGCACACATACATGCACCTGTGTCAGATTTGGCACCATGCTCCATGATTGTCTGACTGTGTCTGTCTTCTCAGGTAAGGGGCTGGCTCTCGGCACCAAGACCCAGCACAGCATTCGACCCAGAGGACAGCTCAGTTCGTGATTGCCAGATGGCTGCACAGAGGCACGGAGGAGGTGAGCAGCAGCCTGCATGGGGAGGGGGGGTGCTATCCTGCCTCTGCAGACCCCAGCCAGGGAGTTTTCCAGGCCCTCCCACTGTCAAGGCCCCAGCAAGTGTTCTTGGTTTAGCCTCCTTCATCATAGATGAGGCAACTAAGCCTGAGCTATTAACTGACTTGTCCAGGATCACCGAGGCTG